TTATTAAAATCTGGAGAGTCCAGTGTATCAGACAGAGTAATGTTACCTGCCCAATAAGCTGATATGTGGATTATGTAAGTGAGTACAAGACATGGATGGCTAAGTACTGGTGAAAATGGAGGTGTGTGTCTGTGTGTGTGTGTGTGTGTGTGTGTGTGTGTGTGTGTGTGCTCACACACCTATGCATACTGATGTGAATGCAGAAGAGGGCATTGGGTGCCTTGCCATAATTCCTTAAGATTTGGTTTCTTACTGAACCTTGATTTTTGGGGGGAGGAGACTAGGCTTCCTAAACAACATGCTCCCACAATCTACTTGTCTATGCCTCTCAGGGCTGGGGTAACAGTGCTCAAGTCACCCCAGAAATTACCAGGGACTCCAAACTCAGGTTTTCATGCTTGTGTGACAAGTACCTTCTTACCCACTGTGTCATCTCGACAGCAGACCAGGCTGGCCTGTGATTCATGATCCTCCAGCCTCTGTTTCTTCAGAATATCCTCTGGCACACGCTGTCATGCTGACAGTTTTACTTATTAAAATAATTTAAACTTCACAGCAAAATTTGGCAGAAAATACAGGGCTCTTCCGCATGCATTCCACCCCTCCCCTTAATGCCTCGTCTCGCACCAGAGTGCATCCTCTGAAATCACTGCTGTTGCATTGCCACACATCATCACCTTAAGCTCTGCTCCTAGTCCAACTTCTGCTCGCTTTGGCAGATACGTAATGACACGTGTCCACCACTGTGGTAACCTAGAGAATAGTCTCATGGCCTTAAAAGGCCCCGCTTACCTCTTGCTCATCTCCTTCTTCCTTCCAGGAGCCCACTCATCTTTAATTGTCCCCATAGTTTTCTTGTCCAAAGTGTTACAGACTTGGGTTCACACAGTGTGTGACCTTTTCAGATTGATTTCTTTCAACAAAAAAAGTGTGCTTAATGTTCTCCCATGTCTTTTAATGGTTTAAAAACAAGCACACTTCTCTTTAGTGGTCAGTACTATTGCACTGTCAACTCGTCCACTGAAGGTCACCTTTTCCTCTAACTTGTGGCAGTCATGAGTATAGCTGCTGTAAACGTTTGTCTGTGACTTAGTAACTCAAACGAAGAACCGGGGTGCGATTGCTGGGTCTTCTGAGAACAGGGCTCCTTGCTTTGTAGGGTGCTAAGGGTTCTTTCAAAGTGGTTGTACCATTCAGCAGGCCCAAGAATGAATGGGAGTCCCTGCTGCTCCATATCTTGGCCAGCATTTGCTTGCATCAGGGGCCAGTTTTGAGGTTTTAGTCATTCTAATAAATGATGTCATTGTTTGAATTTGCGGTTTCTCAGTGACATAGGATGTTGAGCATATTTCCGTATGCTGCTTGCTGCCTGTATGTCTTCAGTGATATGTCCACTGTTTGTTCTTTCTCTCGTCAGGTCATTCATGTTCATATTGAGTTTAAAGTGTTCTTTACATATGTTGGAGCTGTTTCTATTTTTATTGTAATATGTTACTATTGTCCTGAGTGCCTGCACCAGGGATGCTTTGAGACCTGTGCATAGCTGAAAAAGAAGACCCACATACAAATATTTCTCTTTTTTTGTGGGAGAGATAGAGAAATTATTTTTTACCTGGAAAAGAAAAAGAAAGGAAAAACTGTTTTTCTAGGTTGCTTTGATCGAGAAAGATCTTCAGGCTGCCTCATATAAACAGCTTGCATTTCATGTTTCCAGCCATGGATGACGAGTAGAAACTGCCACCCACCTCAGCATTCTCTCCCTTTTATGGACCCACTAGGAATTCAGGGCTGACATCAGGCCTGTTAGCAAGTCACCTTAACTTCCAGACAGCTATTCAGACTAGTTGCTAATGCTACTGAAGAAGAGCTTGCCCTGTAGTGGGTAGGAGGCTTTATATTTTACTGTCTGGCTCCCACTCTCCCAGCTTCACAGTGATAGGTTTATATTACAGGGCTCATTTTCATTTTATGTCTTTTTATTTACACACCAATTCTTTTGGAAGTAGTTTTAATTCTGTTTTATGAGAGAGGGGCTCTGTGTCTGTGCATTCCTATATAAAAGAAAAAGATGGTTGTTTTTAATGCAGATTTGAAGGAAATATAATGGATTTCAGCTACAACAATTTCTCCTCATTTAGAAGAGATGAACACCTAGTTAGATGAACAATGTCATTCCTCCTAAAATCGGAATACATCCTGTTTCCATGACAACCTGTACTTACCAGATTGCCTGGTAAAAGAAGTATTTTGATTCTGTCTTTGATAAAGGACTTGACCACTTTCTTCATTCTGACAATTTAATTCTATTCGGGTCTTTTCCCCTACCTTTAACATGGGCTGCTTTTGAGAGTTAGGGCCTTGAGCCCATTTTAGAGGTGAATCTCCTCCAGAATGAAAGGAGAGGCCTCCCCAGGCAAATGTCGATGGCCATAGGAAATGAGGACGCTGCCAACGGTCAAGTCATAGTCATTTTCTGGAATCTTCCCATTAAATTAAATCAACAGCCACAATGCCCCGACTTATTAAGATGCTGTTTGATGTGTGAAGGAGTGAGTCTACTGTTCATTTCCATTGACTCTCTAAAGGGGGCTCCTCTCTCCACTACTAATTTATGTCTGTCTTTATGAATGGTCTGTGTCCTCTTACAGCTAAATTCTGTTCTTGAAAAGAAAGTGCTCTTAATGATTTTCTCTCAAAATGAAAAATAGGGAATTATTTGCATCATTAACAATGCTTTTTCAAAATTTGAGAAATAACAGCCCTACGTTTATTGACAAGATTATGCTTAATGTAACATAAAATATTTAAGTTCAATATGGTAAGAAAACATGACCCCTGGGCATTTTAGGAATACCGGGAATTGAACAAAAACGTGGGAGTATTCAGTCTAGTTCTGAGGGGTCTACTGAGTTTGGGAGAACAAAGTGATTATTTGGTATCCCCAAATAATTGTCAACCATAGCAGTTCTTTATGGCCTGAAAAACTCAATATGAAGTCACCAGAGGGCCACCAGGTGTCTCATTGTCTATCAGACCTGATGTTTTGTAACAGGCCTCCTTTGTTAATAGGTACAGGGTGATAACCTCTGAGAGTTACTAAGAAACTTTTAAAGCAATAGTGCAACCCACAATGTAACAGTATGTGTATATTGTGTAACGAAGGAAAATAAAAACAAGCGAGCCATCATCAGGCCTCTCTGTGTTTATCATTCCTGTGGATATTTGCCCCAGGTCAGGAGGCTTCCTAACTGTAGAGGTTCACCCAGCTGAACTCTTTGTCAGCATCTTCATGATTAGCACTTAGTATGGAAGTTACGGTTCTGAAAATGTTGCACAGTTATATTATTTTTTAAAATGTTGCTTCATTTTAAATCCTGCTTTATTTGTTTTAACCTATTGATTGCCCATCAAGTTGATGGTGAACCCTCAAGCTTTAGTATACTCAACTCTTGAGAAGTAAATGACTGGTCTGGACAGATGGCTCCAACGTTAAGTACCTGCCCACACAAACAAACAAGTTCTGAATCCTCAGCATCTACATAAACATCAGAGCACAGACATTTGAGCAGAGACAGGAGGTCCCTGGATCTCACTGGCCTCCAAACCTAGCTGAATCAGTGAGACCAGCTCCAGTGAGAGACCCCATCTCAAAAAGGTGGACCGGACTGAGAACTGCATATGTGAACCTATAGTTCTAAACACACATTAACATATACACACTCACATAGTATACCCATGCCGCCACCACCACCACCACACCAAGGGGAGAAAGAAGACACATGATTTAATAGAATATTTAAATAGGTGCTTTGATGAAGGGATCACTATTCAGACATTTTCAAGTGCCTCACTATAAATATTACTTTATAGTATTTTTTTTTTGAGGTCTTCAGAGGCAAGCTCTCACTTTGACTGACTGACCTACAGGCTGCTTCTAGCTGATCAGCTACTTCAGTCTTTCAGGTTTCCCAGGGCAGGATACTAGGACATACCATTCAGTGCTCAGACCAGCACAGTCTTGGGCAGGTGAGAAGGCCAGAAGACTTAGTAACTCTAAAGTAACTAATAGTTCATTGACTAGCTATGAACTGTTACTCATGCTACGCAGCCTTTGCCAACTCCTTCAACGGGGCAAAGGAGAACATGTTTATCCCATCCACCAAGACTATAAAAGACTGACCCCAGCAGCAAGAACTGCCTAAGGGAACAATGACAGACCCCCATGCAGTCACAGCACAGGTGCTTTCCTTCCTTGACGTTCCTAAGGCTAGGCACATGACCCTTATTTCTACAGCAACAACTCAAACAGCATTAATTCCCAGCATCCCTTGTGCCAGTGTGTTTCTAAACTGAATACTTTGTGTCCCTGCTTGGCAATCCTCCTCATCTCTCTGTATCTCACACAATGGAACCTTCCCAGACACTGGGAGGGTGGTTAGAGATTGTGAATGGCAGAAAGGAAAAGTCTTAGGTATGGAGGAGATGTAAACACCACATTGTGGGGACCAAATGTAGAGTGGGCGAACAGGATCAGTAGATCTGATTCTCCCATGAGCCAGGCAGATGCTGGGAACTGGGCTGCAGGAGTGGGGAGGGGCCAGGCCTGTCCCCATGAGCTCATGTTAAGGCTAAGCTTAGACACACCAAGGGAATAGAGGCGGGTTTGCTTGGATTGTGTATGTTTTCAAATATATTCAATATATATTTACATAGTTCCAAGAATATGTAAATAGAGGTATGTGTATGCACCTCTATTTATATACACACATGAGTATATATCCACATACATTTAGAAATAGACTTTCAACTGCGTTTGGAAAGGTGGGAGGAGGTAGGGAGGATTCAGATGCTGGACTGGAGGATTCAGATCTCAGCCAGGGAGAGACAGCCATTTGAACAAGGAGGGAATAAAACAAAGCACATCGTAGGAGGTGAGAATACTGTCCATGGACAGGAGGAGACAAGCACACTGAGAGCAAGACTGTCACCATGCTTTATAGACCTTTTTCAAATCTTGGTGGTGTGCCAGCAGGTGGCTGACCTGTGCAGTGTGATGGGACAGACACAGGAAGAAGAGGGTCCTAGCCTTCCCCTCTGGGACCAGACACTCCAGTGTGGTAGATTCAGGAAGCTTGTGACACGGGCTCTGAAAGAAATAACCAACAGAAGGAGAAGTGAGAGACAGGGCAAGCTATGAGGAACAGAGGGACGGTCAATAGAGGGACAGATACACAGGTACTGTCAGCCCTAGAGAAGTTCTGAGCTCAGGAAAGAGGACAGCTCTGTCATGGAATTGGTGTTTGAAGGCTTGGACCTAGCTGTGTCTGCTGTTCAGATGACATGGGTTGGAGGTTGGAAGGCTGGCCAAGGGAGTGTCGTAGCTGCCCTTTCTGTCCTTTGTTGAAACTCAAGAAATGAAACAGGAGTGGGTGGCATCCTCGAGAAGGAAGGAGCACCAACTCAGAAGGTGTGGAGAAAACAGGACATGGCCCCCAACTGGCACATGGGTGGCGATGGAGTTCAGAATGCCCTGGCTTCATTGCTACATTTTTCTAGGCTCAGTGATCAAAAGACCACATTCTTCAAGTCCAGTGCAATTTCTTTTACGCCTCTTTTCATTTGAGGCTCAGAACCAGACCCTCAGGGGCTGTCAGAACCTCTAACACTGGTTGAGGTCCGTAACACTGGTTGAGCTTTTACTCTGTGCAGATTATAAAGAGGACACTCATATCAAAGGGAACTCCTGTTAGCATCTCTTTTTCTTGGGTGAGACATATGGGCCCAGCAAGTCCATGGAGTGCACCTAAATCCTAGTTCAAACCCAGGTAAAGCCACTGCTGTTAAAGTACACTGTAGTCTCCCCTCACCCCAGTAGAGTCCCCAACTAGTTTCATGCCCCCACCCCTTAAAGCTATGCCTTTAAAATCAAGCAACTGATTTTGCTGGAGGCTCTTTGCAGGTGGATACCCTAGGCTTGTGTCTTTTTTCACCTTGTGTCTGGAGAGTCTGGGGCCCGCCACCTAGTGGCCACAGACATCCTTTTTCTTTGGAGTTCCTAGGTGGAAGCAAGTCCAGGGATTTATAGCAAGCGCCACAAGCTATAAACAGGAAACTTCTCAGCCTCAGAGAAGGAGCCCAGCAATGTAAGCAGCATATTGCCAATGAGGGCTGCTGTGGGATTGCCTTCTGTATGCTGTGAATACCATTGGTTAATAAGGAAACTGTCTTGGGCCTGCGCAGGGAATAGAGGTAGTCAAGGGAAGCTAAACTGAATGCTGGGAGAAAGGAGGCAAAGTTAGAGAGAAGCCATGTAGATCCACTGGACACAGATGCCAGAACTTTTCCTGGTAAGCCACAGCCTCGTGGCGATACACAGATTAATAGAAATGAGTTAAATTAAGATGTAAGAGTTAGCCAAAAAGAAGCTAGAGCTAGTGGGCCAAGTAGTGATTTAAATATAGTTTCTGTGTGATTATTTCGGTTCTGGGTGGCCGGGAAAAACAAGCAGGCTTCTTACTACAGAGGGCCTGCACCCATCCAACAAACACTTAACCTGTGACTACAGATCTAGCCGCATACTTGCACACACCCTGGTCACTGGTACACAGGTTTCTCCTGTCTATATTGTTCACTGGTGATCTCAAGAGCCTAGGATGGTGGCATTTGCAGAGCAGATGTGCAGGCATTCATTGGGTGGGATATTGGCGGCATCTTTGTGACTGCCCTGTGATGTGCACGTTTTCTCGTTTAATGATGGCTTATGGGATCAATGGCTTAGGATGCCCATTACTCACATGTGGAATCTCGGCACACGGGACTCGAACTTTCTAGCCTCAGAGACTCCAAGTTTAACTGCTGGGATCTCCTCTGGGCTGAGTTTTGTGTGTAGCACTCCCATTATGTAGACACACGGTAGAGATGTCTCCCTTCAAAGAAACCATCAGACATTTACACTCGCTTTCTGACTTTGGAGTAAAAGGTTTACCTCCCGGTGCTGTGACAGCATGTGTAGATGAAGGGACTGTCACTAGTTTGCCCTCAGTAGTATGACTTGCACAGTCTCTCCATGCATCCTTTATTGTTTAAAGGATGGGACTGAGTTAGCATCCTTGCCTTTCCTTCCCTGCCAACTCCAACATCCTACTGTTTCTGTGCCTCCCAGGGAGCCGGATATGAGTGGAAGAGAGAGGACCACTTGTTACTAGGCAACCAGCACTCACCTCACCCATGTTGCCATGGTGATGATGAAAGTTGGGCTGATGGGATTACCAGCTCCTGCTAATTGCACATGAGCACTCAAGGTCTCTGTCTTTTTCTTGCTTGCTCACTGGCTTCCACTTTCCTGTTCTTCTAGAAACCATAGAAAGAGCTTCTCTCTCATCTGTAGTCCTCCTGGGGCATCCCTGGTACACTAATGGAAAGCCACTAGAAATGGAGCCTCTGAGCAGCTGTGTGACCTTGGGCAAGTTACCCAGCTTCTCTGGGCCTCCATTTCCTTATTTGGAAAATGAAGGGGTTGGAATGCTGATCCCTGCTGAAGGTTCCTCCTAGCTCTCAAATCCTTTGATGCCTAGGGAGCATGTCAGGGGAACAGACCACACTGTTACCAGGCAACCAGCAGGCACCCTGCCCAAGTTGCCTTGGTGACTGGATACTGGAGGGGAGGGGAGTCACTGCTGCAGCTAATTGCTTAATTATTTATGAGTGCCTCAAGTCCTTTCCGTTGTTTTTGTTGCTAGGGGCTGTGGGGTCACCTTCTCCTCTCTTCTGCCACCCCAAGGCATCTGCATTGTGTGTTATGCCATGAGAGAGCACCTTGGCCTGGACCTCAAGCGACCCACATCCTAGTTCTGCTTCTGTAATGTCCTAGAACAGTGGCCTCAGGTAAGTCAGTTCACCTCCCCAGGCCTCGAGTTTCCTTTCCTGTAGCCGTGGGTTTGTTTAGGGGAACCCTAAGTGCCTCATCGACCCAGAGGTTCTGGCTCCTGCCATCTACTTGTGAAGTGAGGAATACACCGAAATGTTCCTCATTTGTTTTCAGTGAAGTATAATTGTGAAGCATAATGAGAATCAACATGTGTTCGGTGGGAAGGGGACAGAAGTGCTCGCCGTCGCCTCTCCTTGCCTTGGTCGTGTTACCTGAATTCCTGATTCACCTAAGGCCACTTATATTTTATTCACTATGTATCACCAACTTCCCGAATAGATTTCAGGCCTTCACAATATAAGATCCAGTTAGGCCATTAAAGGATAAGTAGAGACTCATGTAATTCTGAGCACCTTAGAAGCTAAGGCGAAAGAGTGATTTATAATGCAGAAAAACTTTCAGACGACTTCCAATCCTAAATCCTAGAAGAGATTTATCCTGTGACTTTTTATTTTGTGGGAACTGCGCATAGACATTTAAAACTAGATCTCTCTGGCTGAGTGATTGTCACAGGGGGTGAGGAAGAGCCAAACCGCGACAGTTTGGCTAGTTCCGATCATTAGAAAGCAGCCATCCTTTCTACTGACATCTTAGAAATTCATACAGATAAATGTCACTTAGTAAGTCTGAGTCCTCAGAGTCGGGAGCTATTTATATCTCACATGCATGGATATGTGCTTATCTTGTACGACTTGGCAACATGTATCAGATTTTTAAATGCAGGCAGCTGTTCCCATCCCCCGAACTCATTCCGAAGTAAGCCTGTACAGATGAGGATGTAATTATGAAGATGCCCATGGTGAAGTGAACTTAGAAAAGAAAATGGCTAGCAAGTCCATACTGTTGGAGGCTACGTCTTTACAATAAGTCCTGTTGACACCCTGGTGGTGAAGTAGATCTGTGTGTTTTGATGTGGAAAAATGTTCAGAGACATAATGTTGAATAAGAAAAGAAAGTGCAGCATTGATGTTAAATGCATATTCTTCTCTATAAAAAGACTGAGAGATACAGTTTATAAATTGAGATGTATGTTTGTATGCACAGATGTGTATTTTTCCAGAAGCTGTGAGTAGCAGTTTCCTCTGGGAGGCAGATTGATCGCCTTTGGAGGGAAAAAGACCTCTCTCTTCTCGACTTATTTTTACTCTCTAGACCTTTATTTTTCATTTATATGGGCAGAAGAGCCTGGCAGTGGAAACCCTAAATTCTAGAGTCTCAACACACCTGTTCAAAACCCAGCTCTGCCATGTTCTAGTCATGTGACCTAGGGTTAACCTGCCTACTCTGTCTCACATCTGTAAGATGGGTGGACGGTACCCTCCGCATCACATTATTGTTGGGGTACACAAGCTAATAGGGTAGAGCTCTCAGAAAGGCTCTAACAATGCTGTGTATGTGCTCTTGTGAAAAGGCTAAAGGGACGTAAGGCAACAGATGCATCTGGTCGGGTGGAACCTAGTACCTCAGTGATGGAAGACTGGATCAAATAGTCACATTTCCAGAACCTTGTGCTACATGGAAGTTGCATTTCAAGAAGGGATCGCAAAGCACACATACTGTTCTGCTATCATTTGATCTTACCTTGCCAAGTTCATGGGGAAGGCAGAGGTCCTGGGTTCAGGACAACCTGTCATGAACCTATAAAGTCCCCATCCCATTGTGTTCTCCAGATCTTCTCCCTCAAGCAGAATGCAAAATGAATGCTGTCAGGTAGAAAATGGATTTGGGTGACCCCAGCTATTGGAGGCCAGAAAGATTCTGTCTCAAAATGTGTGTTAAAGGAGTTGTCCAGGGCTCCTAGCATGCCTCCAGGCCTGGAGAAAGTAACAGAGCTCTAGGAGAATCCTTGCTTGAGGGTTCCTCTTATTGTGAACTCAGGAGTCTGATGGCTACAGTGACTTCCTGGATTTTCACACGTGTAGGCTGTTGTGAACAGAACTGCAGCTTCCTCCTCCTTCCTCTGCCATGCTTGGAGGCAGACTTGAAGAACTTTGACCCATTCTGAGGAGAGGGAAGGAAGATAGCCTGGTTCCTTAAATACACAGATAGGCAACTTTATTCTCACCACTAGGCATACAAAGCTTCAATACTCCGTGGTCTCAGTGTTGCCAGATTCCATCTTTGTCTAATACCTTGTTCCTGCACTCTCAGACATTGGAGCCTCTTTATCTGTCCGGCCATTGGTCCTCTCTCCATCTATCTGCCATTTCCAACTGTGCTTCCATCTGCCCTTCCATCCCTCCGTGCCTCCTCTAGCCATCTGCCAGCCTTCCCATCCATACAGCCTTCAGATTGTTGGTATGTCAAGCCATCTCTCCTTCCTCCCTCGCACTGTTGGACTCTGAGACTCCATCCGCATTGAGCCATTGACCAGACCTTCCATCTGCCGTTGGTCCCAGCTGTGCGGTCAGGCGGGTGACTGTTTTTCTG